GAGGGGACAACGGAGGATGAGAAGGTTAGATGGCATCACTGACTCAATGGACATGAGTTTGAGTAAACTCTGGGAGTTGGTGATGGACAGGGTAGCCTGGCGTGCTGCAGTCCATGGGATTGCAAAAGAGTTGGACACGACTGAGTGACTGAACTGTAACTGTGCAGTGGTATACTTGTAGGGCAGTTTGCTTCCTTCATCCATGGACTTCTGTGAAGCCGTATGGAACTCACTGCGGGTGGAACGAAATGGGGAGTGTATATGTCCATCTTTGGTCAAAGTTTGCCTCACTTCTGGGTTGAGAATCATGAATGCTAATTAATTGTTGTGGGATTCCACACTGTGATGTCTGCAAAACCTCTGGGTAGGAAGCTGAAAGTGTGGGGTACATGCTAAGTTGGTTTCAGTTTACACTATATGACACTTCCAAGGCTGCCCAGAACTGGTTGCTGATATTATACTTGAAATAAGAGCTGAACATGAGAGGATGTGAGGTAGAGTACAAGAAGTGTGCAGTACAGGTATCTAATAGTTGCAGTGTAGTATAAATACAAAAATTGAATGGCAGTGTGAAGAACTATTAGATAACATTAATCATTGTGTATCTAAATATTGCTAGATCTTTGATGCTTCCAGAGTAGAGAGTGAAACAAGATTCCTATATCACATTCAGAGGAAGACAGGTGGAACTTAAAATTTTAGTGTTTTTTTTTCCTTTTAACGTATCTTTTTAAAAAATGTTCAACATAATAAATATAATTAGCTCTGCTCTATGTTATATAAAGCTGATAAGAGTAAATCCCAAGAAGTCTCATCACATAGAGCAAAAAATTTTTCTATTTACCTAATTTTTTATCTGTATAAGATAATGGATGTTCACCAACCTTATTGAGATAATTATTTCATGATTATGTTAAGTCAAAAACTTTTGCTTTGATATCTTTTAATTCAGGATCGTTTACCTGGGGCTTTCTTGGTGCCTCAGTGGTAAAGAATGTGATTGCCAACAGGAGATACAAGTTTGATCTCTGATCTGGGAAAATCCCACGTGCCACAGAGCAACTAAGCTCATGTGCCATGAAATGTTGAGCCTGTGCCCTAGAGGCTGGGAGCTGCAACTACTGAGCCTCCATGCCACAAATACTGAAGTCCGAGCACCTTGGAGTTCTAGCTCTGCAACAAGAGAAGCCACTTCAATGAGAGGCCCACCCACCACAATTAGAGAGTAGGCCCCGCTGTCTGCAACTAGAGAAAAGCCCCTGCAGTAAGAAGACCCACCACAGCCAAAAGTGAATAAATAAATAAAATTATAAAAAAATGAGTGAATGATTAGGCATGTAAATTAAATTCCATTGAGCTGAAAGCCTGTTCCCAAACACAGTACTTCTGCACATTAATTTTAAAAAAAAATTTTCTTTAAAGATAACTTACATGTATTTCTTATTTAATCCTTGTGGCAGTTCTGAGTAGATGGGATGTTGCATTGAGAAGAACCTATCCATGGTTATAGAATTAATATATTGCAGAGCTTAGATTTAAACATATCTTACTCAAAGGTTTTTTTTTTTCTTCTTTTTCTTTTCTGATACAGCACCCTGTGATTGAAGTCCATGTTAGGTCTCAAAGCTATAAGCCTAGGCCTCTCTCCATTTGTATGTATTCCTTTAGTCCACTAGAGGTCAGTATTGGGCTGATAAAGAAAGGAACCTTTGTTTTTTTTGATTCACAGAATTTTGAATCTTATTGCTAGGTACCCTTGGAAGTTGTATTTGCAATAAAACTTTATTTAATGACATGTGTAATGACAATTGTAAAAGTTTCAAAAGCTACATTTTTAGGTGAATAATTCAAGTTAGGTAATTCTTATGGTTTCCCCCCCCCCCCTTAAATAAATAGGAGAATATTCAAATTATGTCTTTTACAGATATCCCTCTCTTTTGTTGTGCCAAATCTCATTCTTACATAGGTTTCTTTTATTATTTTTTCCTTTGTGTAGTAAGCATTTATCTGAGTTTTCTGTGTATATGTCATTGTATCTGGACTTGGGGGATTCTAAGAATGGGCAAGTATGTTTCCTATCCTGAAGATGAGAAGAGTTGAACTCTGAAGTGTTGTACTGTCATTTTTTATTTGAATATCTGACAAGTTTACTTAACTCATCTTCTCTATCCTGCCTCAACTTACTATTTCCACAGTTCCTGTTTTTTGGAATAATCCCATCGCCTAGTCTTAAAAACCAGAATATTTGCAGTTATTTTTATTTTCTTCCCCTCTTCCACATACAACATTTAAATCAGTAAACTATATTGTTGTTTGTTGTGTGGACTTTAGGGTCACATTTGAATCTTTACATATATTGCATATATTTACATGTTTTTATCTATATTTACTCTCTTCACTTCCTGCCAGTTCCATAACATAATTTTGAATAGATGGTGGTTTTAATTTGCTTTCTAATGGGTAATATCTGAGTATTTATTTCATTATTCTACCTGTTTTAGTATTTCCAACTTGATTAGTTCTTTCTTGGCAGATCTGCCCTGACTGCTCCGTTATAAATGGAAAAGCCTTGATAATTTTTACAGAGACTCCAAGTTATTATAGAGCCTTGGAGTAAAACTTGCAGTGCTCTCATTTCTAGCATAGGTTATGTTGATTTGGCCTTAACTGCTTTGTGCTCCATCAAAGTGATTGGTAAAACAGGCACAAAAAGAACAAATCATAGATGATCTAAAATTACTTCCATAGGGTTTCTTTCAGATTTGTATTATTTGAAGTATAAATGATAGTACTTAAATGTGGCTCCTCTTGATTGCTTTCAGTACATTGATAGTATTTTATTGATTGTGAAAGAAAAATATTTAACTTTGGATTCAATAAAATAAGACCAACTTATAAAAGCTTTTAGTTCTGCTGTACTGAGAGAAAGAATAAAGAGACAAGTGACCATTCTTCAGTTGAGGGCTTGCTTTTTTAATATGAAAGTTTTAGCTTTCTAGAGTCCTCAATCTCTTTTTGTGTGGTTTACATTGAAAATAAGTGAGAGAGGGGAACTTCCTATTTTTGAGAGGAGTAGGAAGAATGTTTTGTCTAATTTGGGATCTCAGATGCTTTAAGGATACGTATGTCTTGTTTACAAACATAAAGTAAATGTTATTGGGTATCTTCCCTCTCAGTTTTGTTACTGAAGCTATGTATTTTATGTAAGTCAAATCAAAATATCAACAAGTACTATGCAGAGAAACAAGTTAGTCCATTGATTCAAATCTCTGGAATGTAGATTCTTTTCATTTTCTTGGCAGAGTCTAGCTCACATGGTTCAAGTTTTTCTCTATCCTGTTATAATTGTCTTATTTAACTAGTACCTGGACTAACCCTTATAATTAGTATTTATCTAGAATTCTTAATCTCCTTCAAAATATTTGGAGATTCTGGTTTTTCTCTTGAACTAATTTCTACTTGTTGCTGAGTAGAAACATCATATAGTGATTAAGGAATGTATATTCTGAGAAGTCACATTTCTTAAGCTTTATATCTTTGGATGATACTAAGTATTAATATTATTGTTTTTAAAAAGAAAAGTTCCGTTGTGAAACACAATAACTTTTCTTAAAATAGGACTTTTCCCATTTTTTATTCTGTTAATGTATTATACATCATATGTCTACAAGAAGGTTTGCATAGCGTGGAGTGTTTCACATTTATTTGACTGCAGGACTCTTTTTTTGGGGACTGTTTTTGTCATGCTTTATGGGACTGTTGGTGCGTGGGAAGATGACTCATACGGAATTTAGGAGATCCCACTTTGGGCTTCTGATTTACCACTTACTAACCTTGTAGCCTCAGACAATCCTTTGTCTTCCAGGATATTTCCTGAGTGGTGATTAAGATCCCTTCCAGCTCTGATACTTTGGGCTAACTTCTGATGTTGACTCTGTATAGTCACACTTTCCACCTCTTTGGATGTATGGAGACCACGTTGTTGTTTGAGTGTATTTTGTTAAGCTGAGGGAATTCTACTTTTCTATAAAAGTTTAGAAAAAGTAATGCTTAAAACTCTGCTTTCCTCAGACTAAGGTCATGAAATTCTGTTGGATTCATTAGTTCATATTACTCTATTAAGATATTTCATTCTCCTGATTAAAATTTATTGATCTCATATATCCACATATCTGTTTTTAAGAGTACCCTAAACTTGAAGATTCCTGTCCCTTTTCTCCAAACCGCAGTGGTTCTAGTATAGCACTTATTGTTTAAGAGATAAATATTTAGTCACTTGCACTAATCTCTTCGCTGCTGTACCAGGCTAAGTGACTTCGGTCGTGTCCCACTCAGTGCGACCCCATGGACTGTGGACTGCCAGGCTCCTCTGTCCATGGGATTCTCTAGGCAAGAATACTGGAGTGGGTTGCCATGCCCTGCTCTGGGAAATCTTCCTGACCCAGGGATCTGGCCTGCATTTCTTAAGTCTCTTGCATTGGAGGGCAGGTTCTTTACCCCTAGTGCCACCTGGGAAGCCCCAATCTCTTGGCAAATTGATAGATTTCATTTTTGTGATGACAGTGTGTGTATTTAGAAAATCTTCCCAGGTGGCACTATTGGTAAAGAACCCTCCTTTCAATGCAGAAGACTTACGAGACGTGGTTCGACTTCTGGGTTGGGAAGACCCCCTGGAGGAGGCCATGGCAACCCTCTCTAGTATTCTTGCCTGGAGAATTCCTGGCACAGAGGAGCCTGGTGGACTGCAGTCCATAGGGTTGCAAAGAGTTGGACATGACTGAAGTGACTAAGCTCTCACTAAGTGATTATCTTTTTTTTTCCCCCTATGTGCTACATTACTATGTTTGGTTTTATTTCTGGTACTAAAACTTTATGTATTTTAAGGTATTTCATTGTATTTTCTTTTGATACCAATTAATTCAAAATTAAAAGTTCTTTGAATGCTTAAGCTTTGTTTCTTCTTTTGTTTGTTTATTTGTGTGTATTTATTTCTATCCTAGGCTCAACAACAAAGAAACCTGGATAACATCATCTTGCAACAACCCAGGATAGGTAGCAAGAGAAAATCTAAGAAAGAAGCATATACAATTTTTGATACAGAGATAGAAAGCACTAGCCCCAAGTCTGAACAGGATTCAGGAATTCTGGATGTTGAAGATGAGGAAGACGATGAAGAGGTAACTAACATTTGAACCAGGGCAGTGAACTTATTGTTCCTTTAAATGTAGTGTGTTTGAGATGTGATGAGGAGTTTATCCATGTAACATAGCTCGTGTGTTCTTCAGGGTATTAAAGATCATTTAAAATACAAGTGGTGTCTGATTTAAGGAAACTGAAGATGTACTAAGATATCTTAGGTTATAAATCTTTGTATTTTAAATATACTCATCCATTTTTTGTTTGTTTGTTTCAGTGTTTTTGATTATATACTGAGTACTTCATTAAGGGAAGAATAGAGTTTACCAGACCTAGAGAAAGAGATCTAGATGACCTCCACTGAAGCTGGAACAAATTACTTGAGACAAATAAAAGATGTTACTTTAAACAGTGGGGTGTAAACAAAAACTTTCTTAGCCTTGAGAAATGGTTCAGATTTAAATTATTAAATGGTTCCAGAAAGTTGAGAACATATTTCTAGAAGAAATAAATGTATAAGTGATTATAGAGTATCTAGGAATTTTGAGACATGTCCATGCGGTCTTAGTTCTGTGACACTTCGAGGTAAAGAATAAGATTAAGTGGCTTAACTAGTATATTTTTATGTCTTTCTTTGTTGTTAAAAGTATATTTAATGTATTTTTAAAAATAAGACTACTGTGATATTTGAGATTTCCAGTTAAAATATTTTTGAGCTACTAATTATTTGCATAAACTGGATCATTTTTTTGTAAGTATAGTGGTTCAGAGCATGAACTTTGAAGACTTATGGACCATTCAGATATTGATTTTGCTATTTTATTTTACTTAAAAATTATGATTAATGATCATATTATTTACTTTTCAAATGTCCCTGAAATGAGCAAGAAACCATTTACTACTGTTCTCAGTAACCTGTTTTATCTTTGTTTGTCTCCTTTTCATTGTTTCATTTCTCCAGATAAAACTGGATTCTCTGTTTCTTCCCCATCCCTGTTCTTTGTTATATCCTTACTACCCTCCTTACTCTTCTCTCTCTGCTGAAACTACGGCCCCAAACTTTTCACTAACTTTGTCGTCTTAGATATTGCTTGGAACTTCTCACTATGTCTTCTCACTTAGTCTTCCAAACTAAAGTTTGGAACTTGAGTCTTTGGAACAAGTGCCTCTGCTATACAAGGTGGTCAGCAAATTTCAGTACTCTTCCTTGCTGATTTGTTTCATGTCATTATTATCAGAGTGCCTGTCCTTATGATCAATACTCTTTTTGCTTCAGAAATCAAATTGACACTATGTAAATGGGGCTGAAAAGCAAATAAATGGATTACTTAATTATTTGTCTAAGTCATTAGCATTTAACTGTCATTGTGTATCTGAGAGACTGTCATATATATAAGGTACTACATTCTTTTATGTAGTTTTTGTTATTGATGGGATATATTTCTATAATACAAATCAATAATTTTATGTACAGTTTATCAGGTTGTGTTTACTATGTGAATGGGCTACATTAATATTTCACTGGGCTTCCCTGGTGGCTCAGATGGTAAAGAACCTGCCTGTAGGGCAGGAGACCTGGGTTCAATCCCTGAGTTGGGATGATACCCTGGAGAAGGGAATGGCTACCCAGTCCAGTATTCTTGCCTGAAGAATTCCATGCAATGAGGAGCCTGGCGGGCTACAGTCCATCAGGTTGCAAAGAGCTGGACACGACTGAGCTACTACACAATAGTTAATACAGTGTGAAAGTTTCATTTTAATCCCTGATGTAATTGGATAAAAAGAACTTTTAATAATTCTAAGATACAAAGCTAAGGAAAAGCCAGACATTTCCCTGATACCCATGGGAATAGATCGGGGCAGAGAAGACTTGCTCCCCTGAGCATTTTTTAGCATTCTCTCTTGCCTGGAATGACTCATATGGTTGGATATGGATCCACCCAGCAGACCATATTGTCAGGGATTAGACTTATCACAAGTGAGAAGTTTTAGTAGCAGTAAAATAAAGAATCAAGATTAAGATGAGGTCCAGTTAACATTTTAAATTTACATTTTTGATTAGCATTAAGGAAATTAAATTCTGTCAGGCACTATGGCTTAAGGAAACAAGTTAAACATAGTGTATGCCCCTGGATAATACACACCCCAAAGAGAGGGTTATGTGATAAGATGAAAGAATGAAAGATGTACACAGTTCTCGTATATTAGTGAGAGCCTTCTGGATATGAGCCATTCTTTATCGTTAGCTCACTGAAGATGCTGGGCAAGTCCTTTTTAATTTTTGTGCCATATTTTTTCATTGTTTTGTCTTCTGACGTCCAGAGAAGATGAAGAAAGCCCGACTAGTAAAATATGTTGGGGTTCCTCATAAAGGAAGTATTATAAGAATGTACTTGGAAGTTAGCATTTTAAAATGGTTATGTATCCCAAATCAAACAGAATTTGTAGTAGAGATTTGCTGATTGAGCTCTTACAATAAGAATTCAGCACTTTGCTGTCATCTAATGGCATCCCATCTTAAAAAAAATCCTACCTTATATTTATTTACTTCTCAGTTTGAATCTTCTTCAAGTGCACATTCTTAATCTCAAACCTCATGTAGAGAATTATTTATTTAGATGTCTCCAAACTGGTTTCTTGGCATAGTTCTTGCATGGTGTGAATAAATTCTTCAGATAAGGTCTTCCATGACCCACTGTGACGTTCTGACCTTCATTCTTGTCATTCTTCAACAGACCTCATTGAGAGTAGCATAAATAGTTTTTGAAATATTTTGACTTTAAACTGTGGCATAGAATTGAGTAGTTCTTAATCTATTTGGAGGTCATATTTTCTGTGAGAGTTTGATAAGCTATATGGAAGCTTTACCAAGTAAAATCTATGTATATTCACTTACAAAAAATTCTGTATAAAATTTTAGGGAATTTGTGAAACTAATGTTGCCCCTAGGACTTAAGTTAAGAACCTGTGTTGTAGAGAGAGTGCTTCTTGAACTTAAATTTGCATAGAAATCAACTTGAAATCACATTTAAATGCAGATTCTGATTGTGTAGGTTGGGGGTGAATCTGAAAGTCTGCATATTTAACAAACTCCCAGGTAAGAACTGTGCTTCTGTTCTCTGGGCATACTTTGAGTTACAAGGCTACAGTGGACCATGAGGAAGCATTTTTAGTACATAAAGCAAGCAAACTCATGAATGTTTAGGTGTCTTACTGATTTTTCATTAATGTGTCCTAACATTTTTCAAGCAAAGAATATAGACTTGAATCAGTTCAGTTCAGTCCAGTTGCTCAGTCGTGTCCAACTCTTTGAAACCCCATGGACTGGAGCACGACAGGCTTCCCTGTCCGTCACCAACTCCCGGAGCTTACTCAAACTCATGTCCATTGAGTCAGTGATGCCATCCAACCATCTCATTCTCTGTAGTCCCCTTCTCCCACCTTCAATCTTTCCCAGCATCAGGGTCTTTTCAAATGAGTCAGCTCTTCACCAGGTGGCCAAAGTATTAGAGCTTCAACTTCAGAATCAGTCCTTCTAATGAACACCCAGGACTGATCTCCTTTAGGATTGACTGGTTGGATCTCCTTGCAGTGCAAGGGACTCTCAAGAGTCTTCTCCAACACCACAGTTCAAAAGCATCAATTCTTTGGCACTCAGCTTTCTTTGTAGTTCAACTCTCATATCCATACATGACTATTGGAAAAACTAAAGCATTCACCAGATGGACTTTAGTTGGCAAAGTAATGTCTGTACTTTTTAATATGCTGTCTAGATAGGTCATAACTTTTTTTTCCAAGGAGTGTCTTTTCAATTCATGGCTGCCGTCACCAACTGCAGTGATTTTGGACCCTCAAAAAATAAAGTCTCTCACTGTTTCCATTGTTTTCCCATCTATTTGCCCTGAAGTGATGAGACCAGATGCCATGATCTTAGTTTTCTGAATGTTGAGCTTAAGCCAACTTGTTCACTCTCTTCTTTCACTTTCATCAAGAGGCTCTTTAGTTCTTCAATTTCTGCCAAAAGTGTGGTGTCATCTGCTTATCTGAGGTTATTGATATTTCTCCTGGCAGTCTTGATTCCAGCTTGTGCTTCATCCAGCCCAGCGTTTCTCATGATGTACTCTGCCCATAAGTTAAATAAGCAGGGTGACAATATACAGCCTTGACATACTCCTTTCCCAATTTGGAACCAATCTGTTGTTCCATGTCCAGTTCTAACTGTTGCTTCCTGACCTGCATACAGATTTCTCAGGAGGCAGGTCAGGTGGTCTGGTAGTCCCATCTCTTTCAGAATTTTCCACAGTTTGTGGTGATCCACACAGTCAAAGGCTTTGGTGTAATCAATAAAGCAGAAATAGATGTTTTTCTGGAACTGTCTTGCTTTTTCGATAATCCAGCGGATATTGGCAATTTGATTTCTGGTTCCTCTGCCTTTTCTAAAACCAACTTGAACATCTGGAACTTCACAGGTCAAGGGCTGTTGAAGCCTGGCTTGGAGAATTTTGAGCATTACTTTGCTAGCGTGTGAGATGAGTGCATTGTGCTGTAGTTTGAGCATTCTTTGGCATTGCCTTTCTTTGGGATTGGAATGAAATCTGGCCTTTTCCAGTCCTTTGGCCACGGCTGAGTTTTCCAAATTTGCTGGCATATTGAGTGCAGTACTTTCACAGCATCATTTTTTAGGATTTGAAATAGCTGTTGAATAGAAAGTCATATTTTTGTTTCTAAAATCTGTTGCTTCCCAGGTGGCACTAGTGTAAAGAACCTGCCTGCCAATGCAGGAGATGTGAGTTGCAGGTTCCATCCTTGGGTTGAGAAGATCCTCTGGAGGGGGGCATGGGAACCCACTCTAGTATTCTTGTCTGGGAAATTCCATGGACAGAGGATCCTGGTGGGCTACAATTCATGGGGTTGCAAAGAGTCAGATACAACTAAAGTGACTTAGCATGTACACATAATAAATTAGAGCATTATTTTTAATGAAATTTTATAATTCTGATTTAACATACTTCAGTTTAGGTGTTTTTTTTCAATATCTGAA